GGGTTGCGACATGAAGAATATGCAGAACATGCAGGTATAAAGTGGCCACTGTCTCGGCCTGTCAGAGTTGATAGACTAGGCGATAGAGTTTGGGAGAAAATAGGCGAGGACAAAAGGCGTGAACACAGGCGAGGGAAAAGCACCACTTGACACCTCACACGGAAAGCAACACTTCAACCAAGACATTGTTTGCATAGTTTTTCCTTACGAATGCACTACGCTACACATATTTGTATGTCCATCAACCCTATTCCCACAACAAGCACTTATTGGACGGACGGGTTCCAGTGCGAGTCGGTGGGGCACTGGAAAACACGGGCAAACTGAGCGTCGTTTTGCAACGCCCCTGTCACGCGGAACCGAGTGGGCGGGTACAGCTTCCACAAAGTCGCGCGGAGGTGGGCATCCGTGTTCTTGGAGCACAAGGTTTGGGCGAACGACAAGTAGAACAATTTGTCGCCTGCTTCTTCCGTGTACTGGGACGGGAACTCCTTCAAGTACTCATGGTACGCGCGGAAACTGGCCTTGAGACCCCGGTTGTCCGCAATGATTTCATTGGAAGAGAACAGGCTGCCGATGTTGCCGATCACAGCACCAGTCACTTCGCTGTTGGAGACAAAGTTGTTGTACTGGTCCTTAATGCACTCGGATTTCGTCTCGAACGCAGCGTTGGAGGCTTCCGACCACCACTGTTTCTGTTTGCCGTCGCCATCGTATCTGCGGCCTTGGTTGTCGAACGCGTGGGTAATTTCGTGTCCGATGAGCATCCCGATGGAACCAAAGTTCTGAGCGGCGTCAAACTGGGCGTCAAAGAATGGTTTTTGAAAATCGCCGGCCGGCAAGAACATTTGGTTCGTGAGGGGGTTGTAGTACGCGTCCGGCACATGGGGTGGCTCGTCGAACTTGTACCTGTCCACAGGTTGGCCGTTCAGCTTCAAGTTGGTGTCGATGTTCACTTGAGACACCTTCCACCGGTTCTTCAAATACGTCGTCGAGTCGAACGTCAGCGTGGGATACAGCTGCGGCTTCTCCGGGCCACCCAACAAGTGTCTAAACTTAGACAGCTTCGTTTGCGCGTTGGCGCGGGTCGAGTTGTCCAACCAGTCGGCGGTGGCAATGCCAGTGGAAAAGGACGACTTCAAGGCCTTGACCAGTTCGTCAGCCGTCTTGACTGTATAGCCGACAACACCTCGTCTATGAAGTACTGTTCCAAGAGATCACCCATGGTGGAGCGTGTCTCAGACAAGCAGAACTTTTCACGAGTAGGTTCCACCTTTTCGTCATCGATCTTCTTGCCGAACAAGTTCCAGTTGGCCGTGCGGAATGCAGGGGTCAAGTGTTTCGACGAGGCGTGGATGATCTTGTACTCCACGATGGTGCGGATGTTCTCCAGCGTCGTGTTCTTCAGCAACACTTCGGTCTTGTCAATGTAGTTCACGTCCTTAAACCCCACCCAGTCATTCGACCCACCCCACTGGTCGTAGATGTCGAAGCCATTGGCTTTGAGCCACGAGCCCACAAGCAGAGGGTACTTCTGGTGCAGTTGGGAGTACCTAAATTCAGTATACAGAGGCCGAGGTACATCGGCGTCCTTCTCCTCGGTGAGGGCGATACCGGCCAGTGTTTGCTCGAAACGGATGATCACCGGCACGGCAGCCGCCGCTTGCTCAGCAGTGTAGCGAGCTAGCTGCAACACCGTCGCAATGTACACCTTGAACTCGGCTTCGACGTCCTTCCACTTGGAAGGGTTGGTGTAGTACGAGCGACTCAGCCACAGGGGGGCTCGGAAACCGAAGAGGGCGTTCTTGGTCAAGTCTTCGTAGTCAGGTCTGGACTTGATATCCACGAAGACAGGGATCCCATTCTTGACCAA